ATAAATGAATAAAAAAGTCAGCCAACATAGGCAAATATGCAGTTATACATACATAAATAAACTTCAACAGGTTTCTGTCACTACTGAAATATATAAAGAGAAGGTGCCCTGGCTGGCGTAGCTCAGTGGATTGAGCGTGGGCTGTGAACCAAAGCGTCGCAGGTTCAATTCCCAGTCAGGGTACATGCCTGGGTTGCCGGCCACGACCCCCAGCAACCGCACATTGATGTTTCTCTCTCTCTCTCTCTTTCTCCCTCCCTTCCCTCTCTAAAAATAAATAAATAAAATCTTTAAAAAAACTTAAATAAAAGAAGAGGTTACAACAATCTTTCTTTTTTTTCTTTTTTACCAAGAGGTGATAAATGAAAGTAAAAAAAGAACACCGGACTCTGCACTTCGTGACTTGGACTCTCGTCCACATTATATACCCAATTATTCCATCATTATACAAACTGCTTTTCCATACTGACCCTGTCCCCTCTTCTGTGCAATCCAGGGGCAATTTTGGTTGTTGTGTTTTAATTTTTAATTGTGATGACTAGTGATTTTAGAAACAGACATTAAGTAGTTGATTATGATAGACTTTATTCTGATTCTGTATATGTTTAAAGTTCAAATGTTTTCCATGCATGCAAGTATGAATACCCCAAGGAAATAAAAGTTGGACTGCACCATGATTGGTTTACATGAATACATCTGTATGTGTCTCTGGGGGTGGAAACGGAGAGAGATTTTTCAATATACAACATGTGCACACTTTTCCATATATGAAATATGTAATTACTCAAAGACAGAAAGATAGCAAGAATAAATGATTGGACTATATTTATCTAGGTGATGATTTACTTACAAATTTTTAAATCGACTTTGTAGTTTTACGTCTAAGTTATTAACTGACTTAATATAAGCTTGGACTAAGGTTCAAGTAGTCATGCCTGGACTTTCCAAAAATGTGCAGGCTCACTGCACATCGCATCAGTGGATGACCCTGCCCTTGTTTTGTCCAGAGCTCCAGGTAGCATTGCCACAGTAGGTGCCTCCTGACTAAAGACAGCCTCACCTTCATCATCATTAGCCTCTCGTCTACGGTACCAAGCCAAAGGTAACAGAAATCCTTCCAGATCTAGGTGGATTGTGCCCCTTGAAAAGCGGCCTTGCTGACTGACAGAACCATGCTGTGGAGATCCCGCTGGCAGAACTGGAACCGGAAGCTGCACGTGGCAGCACTCTGCAGATGCGTTTCCACTACGACACATACGGTGTAACACGCACACACAAATCCATGTGTGGTGTTCTCAGTGCTCAGAACTCTACTAGATAGTGGCAAGTCATGTCCTCCATTGGCTTCCGAAATTAAAGTAATTGAAAAATAAAATAACTTCTGCCATAAGCATTACTAAATATGCTATGAATATTGAGCATAATCTGATCAATTAAAGGAAACATTATTCAGATGGCACTCAGCAGCTCCTTACGCAAGGAAAACTGTCACTGGAGTCAATATAAATTCTTTCTGAGTATTCCAGGATCAGCTACAAATGGATTTTTAAATGAATGTTTATTCAAGCTGTATTCTTTACACTCTTGCCAAAAATAAAGTACCTAACATTCCATTTACTAAATACAATAAAATTTTTACTTGCCAGTGTGTTATCCAAATAACGGCATGGCCAGGATGAGCTCAAAAACTTGAACATAGTAAGTGAAGTGGTAACTGTACTTTCATATATGTTGGCTCGTATTTCAGAATTATGTTAGCTTTTTAAGAAAATTGAAAAAATACTTAGCACACTAAAACACTAGAGATTTAAAAATAAATAGAAAATAAAATGCTAAAAAAAGAAAAGATAATGCTTCTACCTTTACTTTACAACTTAAAAACGCAGAAGTACTCACAAAACTGTAATAACCACAAAGACCAGGTTTACCTGGCGAAAGGGAGAATGAAATGGAAAGGGGTGCCCTGAATCTCAATAACGCTGTTAGTGATGCAGATTTTCTCCACTGGACACACTGTTACAGACCAAGGGCTTCAGCTGCAGAGGTCTGAACTTGGGAAACCTGGGGTTGCATCAGTGTTCCTCACGTGTGAATTTTAAAGATAATTCCAGCAATTCTGCAACACACATCTCCTAGCTTCTGCCCGGGGGGTAGGTATAGAAGCTTCATGTGAATGACTCTAGTGCTGTGAAAACAAACGGGATGTGGAGGGAGGGTGGCTTTATTTACAAACTTACTTCTACAAAGCTGTTTATTATAACGCAGTCAATTAAGAGGGCTCAGGAGCACTACTGCCAAAGGCCTCACTGTCGTGAAGATAAGAGCACTGTGGCAGCATCACTTCCACAGCATCAAGTAAGGAACTGTGATAAAGCAATTTAGGAAAACTGTAAATAAATTGAAGGCTTTATGTCAGATAAAATCTCAGATTTTTAATCTCTGCCTTATGGAATTACAAGGTGGCAACCCTCAACTTTTTTCTTAAATGAACTCGGTATCGCGGCGGGGGTGGGGGGGATTATAACAAACCCCTGTATTCACTTAGAAGTTTTATTTCATGTCAGGCTGCATCAAAGAAAATACATGTTGGCACTGTGCAAAAACTAAAGGTAGTATCTTTTAAAAATAAAAAGAGAAAAATCATCTATTTATGGTACAAACAAAAATCAGAACAAAAAAGATCCTTTCCATTATGTCAGATGTCTAAACAGAATATAACTTTGTAAATGGATCCCTGTCCCCTGACGGCAATATCGAGATGAAGAGTATCAATTACTAATACTAATTACATTAAGGGGGGTGTACTCCATTTGCTTTTATTTCATTTTAGGTTAGCTATTTATTGTGGTTAAAACTTTAGACATCTGTTGAATACCTAAGGACACACAAGTTCTCCAGAGTCACTTTGGCAAACTGCATGATTTATTCCAATGGCTTCGTCGGATATGTGGACTCTCTTGCTCAGCTTAAGAGACTAGCCCCACACATTAGTTTATTTATAAGCATATCACTTTGCCTTTTAAACAAGATGCCACAACAGTCTTGATATTGGCTGTTTTAAATATTCAAGAATATAGGGCTAACCCTATTTGATGAGCCAAACAAAGCTTAAATGACAGCACAGACTGTAGTAGGTGGTTACATTAAAGAAAAAGATCTATAAATCTGCCACTGATACGTCCACTCAAAAGTTTAAGATTCCACCGTTTGGAATGCGAATGTCATTCAGCCACAAGACAAATAGCCCTATCAGGATAACAGCTGAGAAGTAACTATTCAGCAGAAAGATCCCTTCACCGGACTTCTGCATTACAAATTACCATTTCCTAGGGAAATTTCAACAGATTTCAATTTATTTTGGGGTGTTTGTAAGTACTCTTACAAAAGTGCTGTTATTTTAACTGCAATTGGCCTTGTTTAGAAAACTGGTAAAAGCTCTAAAAACAAAACAAAAATCTACTTCTAACTCCAGGTAAAGCGATGACACAACAGGTATAAACTTTCCACTTGACAAATTTCACTTTAAAATAAACAAATAACTCAGCCTCACATGCACATGAAAAGACATATTTTCAAACTTTTAATGAATTATAGTTAAACCTGTGTTTTCTTGCATTGCTTTGAATATTGGATATAAAACCATACTAAGTATGATTCTCCTTATCCAAATATTTTCTGCATATAGTAACGCAAATTCTATATGCAGAATGCAGAAAATATTTCTTTAGGAAACTAATGTTTAAAAGTATGAAAGCACTAAGAAACTATCCCTTTCCGGCAATATCTTTAATGTGCCCATCAATACACATCTTTAATGAGGCCATAAAATAACTTTTTCCTTTGCCTTAATTCTTCTCAGATCACACATTCCACATGCGAAGCACATCTAATAGAAAAGCTATTATTCGATACTATCTGACGGTTATAAATGTGTTTCTCGAGATGAGTCCTGAAATTAAGAAATATGTGATTTATTAGAAGATATATTAGTAGAGTTGCTACAGCATTGGTCTCAACAGTTTCCAAAAGGTTTTATTTGTTCTGTGTCAAACTTCGGTGGGTGTAAAAAGTAAACTTTGTGAGCATTACATATACCACGCAATACATTTCACATGTATTTTTGAAAGTTTTTTTTTTTACTGTTTCCTCATTTCACTGAGAAACAACTGTAGCAGATATTCCACATAACCTTCATGGTCTGGGTACAGCACAGTGCATACCAAAACATGCTTGCACACAGTGTGTCAAACATGAACACTTTTGTTGTTTGGATCAATAAGTGGTTCAGACAGTACACTTTCCCTTATAAACTTCTAATACAAGACATGAAGAATGCAAATGCTGATTGTATAACCTCATAAAAGTCTAATTGTTATAGGTATTGAAGTATTAAAAATGTTATTTTCATGACACTTGCATATCACTAAATGTTTTTAGACCACCATTTCTGTCAGCGTAGACAGTACTTCCCTATCTCAGGCTTGGTACCACATTTGCATGAGTCAGCATTCGCTTATCTGTGAAATTCTGGATAATGTGTAACACAGCTAAAACTTTTATAGTGTCAAGTTGCACAGACACCAGTAGTAACTTTAGAAATTCTCCCTGGATACAATTATCTACTTAGTAGCCACAAAAGAAAGTAATTCCAGGTTAAAGCTAATTATCCAAACAGTATATACATATTTGTTCTGGAAACACAAAATGTAGGGAGGATTTGGGCTGTCAAGTGCAAAGAGAAATATAAAATACTGCCTACTTTGGACTTTTTCTTTGGTAACTCAGTAAATGTTGGTCTAACTTGCAAAATACAGTGGTATGCCTTGCATAGATGGCCTCTACCAGATGAGGGATGTATGAGTTACCATTAAATCCTCGCTATTAAAATTTTAAATCACAGCTTTCGAAAAAGCAAAGACCATACTTTGCAGGAGGTCCTTTCTGTCTCAGAGTTATTAGCCTTGTCTGGGATACTTAAATGTATCTGAGATGCATCTTACCTGTTTGCTGTACTTGTTATTGGTTTGACAGCTGTATTCAGAGCAGTGATCTGATCCAATGGAAATGTTGTCTCCTGCTCCCACAAATGTGTTGGCTGGTGGTAGATCTTGTACGGCTTGGTGTTTTTTTCCTGCGGTTGGTGACTGGGGGTGAAGCTGCACAGTAGGCAATGGGGAACTGGATTTGTAATGCCTGGCCAGGTCAGGACTACCAGGCCCACCATTGACTGACCGGTATCGGCCCATGCTGGGGCTGTCTGACAGCTTCTCATTGACACTATCGTACCTCTGTCCATTTGGCTTAGAAGCTTCTACAGTGACAATGCTGCTGTAGAGAGGCTGCTTTGATTTTTTGTTTTTCTTGTCCTTTTTAGGCTTTTTAGATTTGTCATGCTGTTGGGGCGTAAAAAAGTCTTCGTGATCTTTTTTGCCAGCCTCATAGCCATTTTTATTTTTGGAACGGCAGTACCTTGCCATCACTACAATTAGGATGATTAGAATCACTGTCATAATTCCAGCAACCACCCCGATGACGATACTGAGTCTCTGTTTGCTAATTTCATAGCTCGGGTCACCAGCTATATCCTGGGTGAGTGGGGTGTGCAAACTTCTGGCTATCTGGGAGTCGATCACAGTGGCGTTGGAGACACTTTCATTGACAAACACATGCACCAGAGCCGTGGTGGACTGGGAAGGCTGCCCGCTGTCATTCACTTGCACCACCAACCTGTGCAAGCCATAATGCTTCTGGGTGAGTTTCCCCACTAAGGAAACCACACCACTGGCGGAATCAATCTCAAATAGCTTGAAGGGATTCCCTCCCACAATGCTGTAGTTAAGGTCTGCATTGATGCCATCGTCACTGTCTGTTGCCAACACTGTAGCTACTACTGTCCTGACATTACTTGAAGGTGGCAGTAAAGTGTAGGAAATGTTTTTGGGAAGAGTAATTGTGGGAGCATTGTCATTTTCATCCATAACAAAGAGAGATACTGTGGCTGTGGCTGATCTGGGAGGATCTCCTCCGTCCACAGCCTTGACTCTGAATGTGTATGTGGTCTGATGTTCCCGGTCAAAAGACATTGTAGAGTAAATGGTCCCCGTGTCGTTTTCAATGGAAAAAATATTACTGTTTTCCTCGATGTACAGGCTCATCTCTGCATTGCGCCCCTTGTCAGCATCCATCACCGTGACCATCCCCACGGGGCTGTTGGGCTGCAAGTTTTCTTTCACGTAAAAGGTAAAGACGTCCTGCATAAACTTAGGGTCATTGTCATTCTTGTCAGCCACCTGCACGATCACCGTGGTGCTGCCCTGCAGCACCGGGATGCCTTTGTCTTTGGCGTTAACTTTAAACTCATACCTGTCAGTCTGCTCGCGGTCCAGCACCGTGTTGACCAGGATGTCCCCAGAATCGGGATCGATGGCAAAAATCCCCATCACCGAAGAGTCCAGGGAGTAAGCTATCTCCGCGTTTTTCCCGCTGTCGGCGTCTGTCGCCAGCACGGTGGCCACCCTCTCCCCAGGGATGTTGTTCTCCGGAAAGTAGACCTCCACCACGGACTGGCCGAAGACAGGCGGGTTGTCGTTGGTGTCTCCCACCTTGACAATCAGGGAGTTGTTGCTGGAGAGGCTGGGGCCGCCGGAGTCCACCGCCACTATGACCACGTTAAACTCCCGGGTGGTCTCATAGTCCAAAGGGGCCGAGGTGTGCAGGAAGTACTTTTTCTTGTTTTGGTCGCCCTCTGTGTCGCTGGCCGGCTTGAGCTGGAACGGCACGTCCCCCACCACGGTGCAGGCGACCACACCATTCTCGCCTTGGTCCCGGTCCGACACCTGCACCAGGGCGATGGGAGTGTCCACCAGAACGTCCTCGGCCACATTGGCCACCCCGTCCTTGAGTGGGATACGCCCAATCTTGCGGATTTCAATAGACGGCACATTGTCGTTCTCATCCTTGATGATGAGGACCACGGTGGCTTTGTCCGTCTTGGGGGGCTGCCCGCGGTCACGGGCCATGACGGTGAAGCGCAGCTGGTTCACCTCCTCGCGGTCTATTCGGTGCAGGACACTGAGCCAACCGGACGTCTCGTCCAGGCGCAGCAGCCGCCTCACGGACTCTGTAGCCGCCCCGAACACGTACTCGATCTGCCCGTTGACCCCCACGTCCAGGTCGGTGGCACGCAGCTGCAGAATAGGGGTCCCAGGGGCGCTGTTCTCGGCCAGATCTGCCTCGTACACGCTCTTCTCGAAGCGGGGGCTGTTGTCGTTCACGTCGGTGATGAGCACCCGCAGGATGGCCTGGGAGGAGCGGGGCGGGTCGCCGCCGTCGCGCACCCGCAGGGTCAGCTCGTAGGAGTCGCGCTGCTCGCGGTCCAGCGCCCCCTTCACGATCAGCTGCGGCTGCTTCTCGCCATCCGGGGTGTCGGCCACCTGCAGTTCGAACACGCTGCTGCGGCCCCCGGGGTTAGTCCCGCCACCGCCCTCTGGCGCGTCCAGCCGCCGCTTGGAGCCGCCGCCGCCGCCGCCGCTCGCGCCGTTCCCGCCGCCCCCGGGGTAGGGGGCGCTGTCTGCAGGCCCGGCGCGCCGACCCTCGCCGCCACCTCCGCCGGGTTCCTGGAGCAGCTCGTAGCGCTCGATGCCGTTGCGGCCGAAGTCGCGGTCGGTGGCGGTGGGAAGCAGGTACAGAGTGCCCACCGGCCTGTTCTCCTCCACCGTGAGCGTGAGCACCGGCGACGGGAAGGTGGGCGTGTTGTCGTTGATGTCCAGCACGATGACCCGACCTTCGAACAGGTCCACCCAGCTCTGCGAGGGCCCGATCACCGACACCTCGAAGTCCAGGAAGCACTCGTTCTCGTCGAAGATCATCTGACACTGGGGCAGCTTCTCGCGGTCGATGCGCCGCTCACTAGTGCTCAGCTCTCCCGTGAGGTTGTCGATCTTCAGGTACTCCGAGCCTGACTCGAGGCTGAACGTCACCTCGCCCGAGCCCGTCACGATGCCCAGGTCCGAGGCGACGTTGCCGATTCGGACGTCTGCTGGGCCCTCCTCGGCCAGCCGGTACCGGAGGAGTTGCTTGGCGGCGGCCAGGCTGAGCGAGAGCGGCAAGAGGAGACAGCAGCCCAGGCACCAGCCGCGCGCCCACCCCGCGGTCCGCATCCTCAGCATCTTCTCCTGCTGCTGCTGCTACTGCTCTTTCTAATCACAGCCCCCCGCGGCGCCCCCCTCCTCGGGGGCCGGCCGCCTGCCCTCCTCCCAGACCTCTCCCCTCTCCGGGAAAGGAAAGGAAAAAAAAAAAAAAAGCGAGAGGGAGAGGTGGGAGGGGGCAAGAGCAGTGTGTAGAGTCGGCCAGGAGAAACCAGCGATAGATCCTTCTTTTTTTTTTTTCTCCTGCTTCTTCCGAAAGTTATTGTTTCATAATTCATGCAATGGGTGCTAATCGCCCGCTCGCTGGCCGCCGTTCAGTCGCAGTACTCACAGTTCACGGGACACTGCGCGCCAAGGGCTCGGCGCCCCCCCGGAGTCATCCCCGCAGCAAGCGGAGAATCCCGGGCTCCCGTCCTGGCTCTGTCGGAAGGGGCCGGTACCGCTCCGGCAGGCGGGCGGTGGAGCCGGGAGGCGACGGGGAGCGAGCCTGCAGCCTCCCCCGCCTGCCAACCCTGCTAGTCTTTGCTGCTACTCGAGTTGAGTCCAATTCACGTTTCAGCCACTCAGTCCAGCCGTAGCTCCTGCTCCGGCTGCCCAGGAAAACGTGAGTCGCTTCCTGCACGAGGCGCTGGGGTCAGCAACAAGCCAGTCTCAACTCCGACTCCGCTCTGGCACAGTGAGAGCCAGTCAACAGACCGAGAATGAAGAATACCCGTCAGGTTGCTTCGGGCACCGAGCAGCGGAGACCACTCGCGTTACAGAGCGGTCCGCGTCCGGGTTCTCCCCGCGCGCCCAAGAGCAGCCCGAGCCATGTTCAGAGTCGGTCCCTTCTCACCCCGAGAGCTGCTTTTCCTTTTTTTCTTAACAACTCTGCGCAAGGTCATTAGTCACGAAGCCGCCGCCTGAAACCGCAGCAGCAGTTCGCCTGCGGAGGTGAAGGCTGAGCCGAGCGCACCGCGCGGCGCCCAAGTTTGGCTTCGCAGCCGCAGAGTCCGTGTCTTTCCTCACCTGCATTCGGCCCGCATGTCGGAGCACTGGGATCTGCAGCGCTGTGCGCGATTCAGGGAGGAGATTGCAGCCTCTCTCTCTCTCCCCGCTCTCTCGATCCCTCCCCTCCCTCCCTCTCTCCTCCCTCCTCCTCCTCCTCCTCCTCCCTCCTCTCCTTTCCCCTTTCCCCTTCTCCCACTCTGTCTCCTGCACGATCCGTTTCCTTTCACCCAGTCCCAATGCAGGCAACTCGAGCTGAACTTGATCCCTTTGCAGTTCAAAGGTGAGCAAACCCGGCTCTATGCACGGGCGACGTTGGCCCAGCGAGAGCCCCTGGCCCGGCTCTCCCAACGGCAATTAACAAAGATGCCCAATTCTGTCCGGATTTCCGAAGAAAAGCCAAAGGCATTGGGGAGGGAGTGGAGGGGGAGGTGGAGTCAGAGATTGCTGCCAAGTAGCTTGTGGGGGGGGGGCGGGGAACAAAAACAGTTTGCCAAGGGGAGAAAAAGTGCCAGTCGGTTGTTGCCTCGGAAGTGCCCTGGCTCGGCGGGTGAATTCCGCAGTTGTCTAGTCCCTTTCGCGTCTGGGAGAGTCTGGTGCGGGCGCTCCCGCCGCCCCTCAAGCTGCCACAGCTCTGAGACGCGGCAAGTGGGAAGCTCCCGCTCACGAGTCGCGAGCCAGAAACCCGCAAGTTTGCCCAAAGTGGTGGCTGCTGCTAGTGGCTCAAGCTCGTCCCTGGCGCTGCTGCAGCGGTGGCGGCGGCGATAGCAGCCGAAGCGCTGAAACTACACACACTCGCAGAGAGGGAGGGAGGAGTGTGTGTGTTGCAGGGGGGCGGGGGGCGGTAGGAGGGAGTTCTAGTCAGCAGCCGCGCTCAGGAAAGCCCGGCTTCAGCTCCCCGGGCCACTCCGCCTGTGCACTCCTCCTGTCAGTCTTCCCCGAAACCAAAGCACTCCTCCACCCCCGCCAACCGCCGGGTCCCCTGCGAGTGCAGCCGCTGTTTTCTCGGAGGGACTTGTTTTCCCTCCCTCGGACTGGTAAATTTCCTCCTCTCTTTAACGCCCAGTGCGTGTAGGAGAGCGCTGGAGCGGGGTCAAAACGTTTCCCCTTCTTCCACTCCCCCTTCTCAGAGCCCATTCTTCACCCCCACGATGTGTGTCCGGCTTGCGATCTCGGTTAGGGGATGATTATGGGTGGTTTGGGAGACCCCGCGTGCGCCCAGGGAGCCACGCTGGTGTTCTGAGAAACCATGATGGGCTGCTGTGGTTAAAAGAGAACGTAAAACTCCAGAAAAAGCGGGAGAGGGATCCTTTTTGGGGGGAGCGTAGACTTCGGTGTACTGGGTTAGGGTTGGGGTGGGTGGGGTGGCGCGTGTCTTTGTTTAAATGCTTGGCAGTCCCGTCCTCTTGCTTGCTTGTGGGGGTAGACCGTTGGTGTGCGCGCGCGCCTGGGGAATAAACACACGTTGGAAGCCGCGATATTATTTTCTGAGCAAAACCCTGCAGCCTTCAGTAACTGGCAAAGTGTAGCGTCACCTATCTTGATAAAAGGGAAATAAACTTTAATGGCAACTTTGTAAACCTAAGTGTCCCTAGCTCCTTTTTCTTTCCTTTTTATGACTTTTGTGCCACTTGATCGTACATGGTAGCCCCCCGCCCCCACCCACGCGAGGCTTCCCCAGGATTCAGTCACGGCCACCGCAGCCCACCTCGTGAGGTCTCAGTTCTAGTTGTGTTTCCTGAACTGTAGTCATTTACTCTTCGTTTATTTCAGCATCGGTTAAAGGAGTGGGGCGGGGGTGGGGGTGGGGGTTCCAGGTTAAGGAGGTTGAAGCCGGCAGGAGGTATTTGGGGAGAATTCTTACCATCTCTAAACAAAACAAGGGGATCCTGCTGGGATTTGGGTGTTCCTTAGCTCGTTTGTCCAACCTACAGGCATTGAAGGGCCTCCCCTTAAAAGAAAATTTAAAGCGAAAAGAAAAAATAAAAAATCTGTCCGTAGTGGGTATTCTATCTTTATGAGACCTGTGTGAGGAGGCAGAATGATTTAAACCAGATAAACACCAATAAAGTCTACGAGCAGCTGTAGCGCGCGGTTGTTTGAGCGGGCGCAGCCAGCAGGAATGGGGAGAGGAGCGGCAGATTTCCAAGCTTTCCCTAAGGGGGAGAGTGAGGCGCGGAGGTGGAAGTGTGTGTGGTATGTGTCAGGGAGATGGTGAGTATTTTCCAGTCTGCTAAAGCAGCCACACTCCGGATAGCGGCTCCTCCTCCGCGGCCAGGCCGGGAACCCAGCCTCCCCCCAGCACCAGTCCACCCCAGCCGCCACCGACACCGCCCCCCCCCGGCTCCAAGCACCCGAGCCTCTCAGCTCTGTATCTGCAGCATCAGCGAGAAAATCCCGGCGCGCAGACTCAGTGCGCACCACCGCAGTCTGGAGCCGGGGACTGGGGGTGGAGGGGAGCGGGTGCCGCAGCGCCTTCGCGGCAGGCTAAGTGGCAGGAATGCCAAATCCCGTATACATTTGGCAAACTCTAGAGTTTGTCAGAGTGCCGGCTTCCCTCCACACCTGGTCCCCTTATTTCCAGGATCCCAGGCGAAAGAAGGAAGCTGTCTCTACTCCGCGGCCTTGCACCGGTGCATTCCGATGCGCGGCATTATGGTGCAGTGCATTCAACCCCCTCCCTGCCTGTTCTAAGATTTTTGCAAACTTCAGGCAGCTGTGTGGACGGCGATATGGTGCACTCTCTCATTCCTCATCTAGCTATAAAAACTTGAACAAACCCCTCCACATCTTCAAACACTCGCCCACGGCCCCAGCGCGCATTCTCCAGGTACACGCTGGTGAGCGGCGAAGGAGTGGGTGTCTTTTCCCCAGCGCGCAGCGAATTTCTTCCCAGATGACCGGGGGCGCGTTGTGTCCTTCACAGTGCAGTGGTTTTCTCATTGCGAGCGGGCGGTAGTCCCCAGCCCGCCCTCCCAGCTCTCATCCCTACCAACTCCGCCGCCGCGCCAAGTCAGCGTGGGAAATGGGTCCGACGTGTGCAGCATGGAGAACAGCGCGGCCAGACTGCCAGAGCTGTGAAGCCTCCTGGCGTCCCTCCCTCCCCCATGGGTCCCTGGCTCCGACCTTTCTGCAGTTGCAGCCAAGGAACCGCTGCGGCTTAGCTCCGCGGCACGGCTCTAGGGAAACCGTACGCAACTAGCGGGGTGGGGTGTGCGCGAGGTTAGAGGAGACCTCGGGGCGCCCTTGTCGCAGCCGGAGCTCCCGGCCCTCTTCCGCCCCCTGTCTGGAGAATGACACTCCTACTCCAGCCTTCCGCGGGCGCGGAGGATGAATGAAGGCGAGAAGCGGTTGCCCCCGCCCCCGCCCCATTTCCGCAGTCTTACAGCCAGTGTCACAAGTGCTCAGCAATTTCATTAAATGGATCCGGGGACTTAATCCCTCCGCCCCCCACCCCCGTACTAGACCTCACGGAGGGAACATGATATCCGGCTTTGCTCCCACTCGCAAACCCCTCCCGGCTTTCCAGCCCCGGGGCTGCATTTATCTTCTCAACCTGCGAGGAAAGGGTTCCGAAGGAAATGGGATCGAAAGTGTAACCGGCTGCAATAAATTAAAGAGCCGGCTGCTAGTGCTGCCGCTTTGGCGGCCAGAAGGGAAGAGAGAGACCCCGATCAGGGTCCTGAAAACCTGCGTTGATCAGAGTAACAGTACACCATCGATTGTATGAAGCAACAATGTTTGAGCGAGTGTTGAACTGTAGGGGATTTTTATTTTTTCCGTTTTTAAGGACAATAAGAAGAAATGTCCCTTTGAAACCAAGATATAAACTATGAAACGGACATTTAATAAAAATTGCAAATAATTTCCTTTCTATTGACAAATATCTATAACTTAAAATATTCGGTAGGTATGTGTGAGTGTGTGTGTGTGTGTGTTTTAATTTACCTTACTAACGTTGCTTGCTTAAAACTGTTTTGCAGTGAAGAAATTTCAGTGACTGGGCTGAAAAATAGCATTCAAGGTCCTTGATGTAGTTTAAGCCTCAAGAAAAGATAGGCAGAGAAGTAAC